TGCTTCAGATTCTGTGTCTCCCTCTCTCTGACCCTCCCCTGTTCGTGCTCTGTCTCTCTCTGTCTCAAAAATAAATAAACGTTAAAAAAAAATTTTTTTAATAAATAAATAAATAAAACAAACCTGTCAGGTTAGCGTTTTGTTCTAGGCATTCCACAAACAAGCATTTTCTATATCCCAACATCAGTCGAAAGGTTCTAATGATTTTTTTTTTCATTGCAATAATTAGGAAGGTATAGTTAAACAGAACCCCACTAAGTGAGGCTGTGAGCCATAAAAGTCTCCAAGTGTCGTCCGACTGGGCCTCCTACAGATGGGAAGCATCAGGCACCAGCGGCTCCCAGTGAGATCCTTCAGCACCACGCACAGCTGTGGGAGATTGAAAAAGTGACAGGTTTCTCGACAGCAATCTGGAAAACGTATAATCTGTCCTCGGAGATCACTAGAAAGAACTGGAAGGATCGCCAAGGCTTCCGCTAGGCAAAGAAGTCCTCAGTGTTGAATGATAGAGGAAAAAAACTAAAGGCACGGGGAAGATTAAGTGATCATTCTATTTGCGGAGGACAAAGCAGGCTTTACATCAAATTCTCATTTATGTGGGTCATAAAGCAAGTACGATACGGGAATGTTTCTTTGGCCTCTGCTTTGTTAACTACCTGGCGAAATTGGGAACATTTACTGAACACTTACTCAGCATCAAACACTACAGTGGGCACTGGGCAATCGTTATTTGAATTAATATCAGTCAAACAAATGATATTTATTGAGAAGCTACTATGAGGGAGGTAGATAAAATCTTGTCGGCATAACGGGGGGAATCAGATACGCAAGGGCACACACGGGGAAAAAATACAAATTGATATGTTATCGAGTGATAATGACAGTGGACACAGAGAGTGGGGTCTGGAAGGATGGGCTGGCCAGTCTAGAGAACCTTCTACACTGGAGAACCCTAGGAGGAAAATTAAGTAAGCTGCAGTGAGCATGCAGTTGGGCAAGTGCTACCTCTAGAAGGCTAAAATAATTATGGAAGGTCAGGACAGAGAGCAAAGGCCAGTGCTGCTTACTAGGAGTCCCGCTTTCACATCTATTTATCTATACAAGCAAAGCCCAGACCTCAAATTTCCACTTTAAAAATTTTTTTAATGTTTATTTTAGTTTTGAGAAAGAGAGAGAGAGAGGGAGAGAGAGCGCCTGTGAGTGGGGGAGGGGCAGAGAGAGAGGGAGACACAGAATCGGAAGCAGGCTCCTGGCTCAGAGCTGTCAGCACGGAGCCCGACTCGGGGCTCGAACCCATGACCCACGAGATCATGACCTGAGCCGAAGTTGGACGCTTGACAGAATGAGCCACCCAGTTGCCCCTCCACTTTTCATGCTGTTCCCATTTTCACACACACATACAATATTGACCATATAAAAAATATTACTTTTCGGAGATATGTTAATTTTAACCCTCCTCCTCCAAAGAAAACCAGGATTCGTTTTGTTTTCCACATTTGGCTATGTACAAAAATAAAACTAATCATATCATTGTCCATTTCCCTCCTTATTGTTTGCCTACATAAACTCAAGTACTTATCCAGAAATCTTCAATTAAAAAAAATATATCCATGGGTACCAGAGTGGCTCAGTCGATTAAGCGTCCAACATCGGCTCAGGTCATGATCTCATGGCTGGTGAGTTCAATCAAGCATCGTATCGGGCTCTGTGCTGACAGCTTAGAGGCTGGACCTGCTTCACATTCTGTCTCTGTCTCTGTCTGTCTCTCTCTCTCTGCCCCTCCCCTGCTCATTCACTGTCTCTCTCTCTCTCTCAAATATAAACAAACATTGAAAAAATTTTTAATATATCCAGGGGCGCCTGGGTGGCTCAGTCAGTTAAACATTTGACTCTTGACTTCGGCTCAGGTCGTAATCTCATAGTTCATGCGTTCAAGCGCCAAGTCTGGCTCTGCACAGAGCATAAAGATTGCTTGGGAGTCTCTCTCTCTCCCTCTCCTTCTACCCCCTCACCTGTTCGTTCTCTCTCTTCTCTCTCTCTCTCAAAATAAATAAACATTAAATAAATAAATATATATATACACACACATATATATAACATAATGTACATGTATATATTTATATATACACAGTGTTTTCTGAAATGACCAGGTATCTGGTGCCCTAATAACACTTTTACTTCATGAGGTAGCTTGTCATATCAGGATTCTTTTTGTTTGTTTTTGTTTTGTGGTTTGTTGTTCCTGTTTTTTTATTTCACTTAGATGTCTTTGTAAGCTGGCATGGGAATGACATCTCAGACATGATTTTATATATATATATATATATATATATATACACATATATATATAGACATACACATACACACACATATATATATAATTATATATATATGCACTAATTATATACGTATGCACTAATTATATATAGATAGACACACACATATACACACATATATGTATATATATAATTATATATATATGCACGAATTATATATATATATAGACACACACACATATACACACATATATATGTATATATGTGTGTGTGTCTATATATATATATATATAATTCGTGCATAGGGGTGTCCTCCATAAATACACTGCCTATATGTGACTGAATTTCTAATTTGTTGAAAGTGAAAACTCTTACCCTGAAGGATCATTATTACAATTTCCCTGGAAGAATAAAATACCGCCAAGCAGCATACCTCAGGGAATAAATATACATCATACTTTCATGAAATTTGCACACAATCCGGGTCAGGTGGTTAATGAAGCCATAAACTATACTATGTCTGAAGTACTAAACATTACCTTATTCAGTTGGCCTCGGCGGTGTTAAGAGAGCGGAAGATGTTTATTGCCAGAAGCTACCCTTCTCGCCTGGCGAGGCCCGTTGATAGCCAGCTCTTTGTAAATAAACATATAACCTTTGCAAAGGTAATTTAAGGCCGTGCCTTAAAGAAGATGGTAAGGTGCACGGGGAGGGAGAGCGAAAATAAAAAATCGCATGAATAAAGTCGAAGGCTGCAGGCTAGGGTGGTTATTAAGTCCCAAGCTGTTTTTCCTTCACTTTTCCTCACCACCGAAATAAAAACAATTATTGCTATGATGCTCTAAAATTAGAACACATTTGTCGTTTTTAAAGGCAGCCACAACTGAACTTGAGCTCAGCAGTAAAAGCGGAGGCAAAGCAAACAGTTGTGCCCGGGGCCTGCCCTCTCGGAGCTTGGCACCAGCCGGGGAGGAGAGCATCACCCCCGGGGTGTGGGTTTAAGCGCAGGGGCCCTGGAGGAAGAGGCATCGTAAAAGGGGTTTAAGAAATCCCCATCGGCCGGGGCTACAGAGCGCATCACCACCCCACAGAGAGCGCCCCTAAACCGCCCTGTGCGGGGATTGGCTGCAGCCCCACCAGAAAGGTAAGCTTTATTATTCCATATGGCCAAGCTTCATGGAATGTGCTGGTGTGTTCCAGAAAGCCGGGGGTCGTTAAACAGGATTCCTCCCCGCCCTCTTCTGCTCTACTACTTCTCTGCTGCGCAGAGAGAGTTTTGCCTAAGTGATCAATTATTAATGACCCAAAGCCTCCGCCTTCCTTTGGCTAAGAGGAAAAAGTTCAAATTTGTGACTCCGGGTTCGATTATCAGAGCGTGTTGGCCAAAGGAGGCTTTTATTCAGAAAGTGCGAGTGTTTCCACCTCCCCCAGCCCACATTTTCCTCAACTTATTTAGACATCACTGCCAAAAAAGGTTTGGCCGGTCCCCTTAATTACTGAGATAATTGCCTTAATTCTCTCTTCACTTTGCTAATGTAGCTCTGGCTTTGAATCTTATGTTTTATCCATTAGATCATTGTAATTGGAAAAAAAAAAAAAAACTAGGTTATGACCCAGTGAATCCTAGCCTAGGCTTTTTAAACAATGTTGTGAAAGGTAGAGATTTAGATACACGGAGGATATAGACAGATATAGATATAGATATACATAGATATAAAGTTATGTACGATTTATATAAAATATAGAATCGTATATATTTTCCATGTATATTCACTCATATACATGAAGTGAAAACAGATTTCCAAGGGAGAAATATTCTCACACATATGCAAGCTCAAATTTTGAAACGGCTTAAATAAGGAAATTAGTTTTCTGTTATGTAAATATTTGATTGCACTTACAAATAATCTAGTGTTCCACCACGAATCTGGTTTTTTTCAAAAAAAACAAAAAACAGCTAAGACTGAGGGATGTGGGATATGGGAACCGAGAGCTCTGATTCAAGCCCGAGCTGTTCTGCACAGATCCTTGGGTTCCAAGCCTTCCACGCCAGCGAATACTCATTCCCTCTCCTGCCTCCTGCTATCACGAGGTGAAGGGCGAGTTCCAGCCAGAAAAGGGAGACAAGGATTGTCCTCTCTTCCATCGCCCACAGGCCGCCTCTGGTTTTCAGGACAAAGACACAAACTGCTGGCTTTTAGTGTGGACCCGGTGGCAATTCCGAGAGAAGACCTGGCTTTCGTTTTAAAGCTATTGTAAAATGTCTAGAGATGCTTAGCTATAAGGCACCATAAAAGTTTAAGATATTATTGTTAAAAGGACAGAGCAAAGCTTTTTTTTTTTGCTCATGGCAAAAGGTTCAGCCGAGTGCGGAGACACAGGGGCTGGAAAAAAGTGTGAGGAGAATCCAGGAGGGCTATTTGTGGCTGGTCGTGTTGTTTTGATTTTCATTTTCAAGTCTTTATGTCAACAGTTTTACGGGACACAGTTGTTTGAGGTGCTACCGATGGGGACTTCACATCAGCTTTGCTTTGTTCGAGAAAGGTTGGAGTTCGGCTGAACTGAAGAGCGTAAAAATATACATTCAGAGCAACCAAAGAAAGCCAGATGAATTCATTAACCCACGGAGAAAACCTCTTGTTCCTAATTCTGGCCCTGAATCCTTTTCTAACTTTGCTTTAGTCGGGGGAAGTGCTGTTTGGTGGCTACAGATGCTTCTTTTTTTATCACAGTTTTGTCCAATACCTCTGGAACGTGTCCACGTCCGTTTTCTGGATGATGGATTCGCATCCCAAACCCACCGGAAACTAGGAGCTGTATTGTAATTTTCAGTATCATTCCCTCAACAGACACTCGCTGAATATGTTCTACCTGTAGGCACTGGACTGTCTTCTGAGGACAAAGCCCTGAGTAAAAGTGAACGTGGCGTCTGCCCTCATGCAGTTGAAATCAAGCCAGCGAAACACACATCCATCGCATCAGCACGCAGCAAAACAGAAAATTCTGACTGATGCAGGTGCTGTGAAGAAATACAAGGAGCTGTGAGCGTTTAAAGTAGGGGATAGGATCAAGCCAAAGAAAGATGTCCCAAGAAATAGTAAAAGCAATACGTATTGAAAACTCACTACAAACTATGGTTCAGAGCACTTAGACGTATTTTTTTCTCTTCAGCCACATGAGACAGGGATCATCTATTATTATTCCCACTCTAGAGATGAGAAGGCTGAAGCAGAGACTCTCAAGTCGAGAGCTGAACTTGGGATGCGCTCAGCCAAGATAGGCAAGGTTATGCTCTGCTACCAAGAATCCCCCAAATATGAAAGTGTACTGCTTGCCTCGATATTTCAGGAGGGGAGAATAATCCAGACGTAGGTGTCATCGTATGCGAAGACCTTGCTCTTGCATGGAGCCTGGACAGGATTGCAAAGCAGGGTGGACGACAGGTCTAGAGCAGACCAGGAGCAGACCTGGAGACCGGCAGGTAGGAGCTAGACCACTCAGAGTGCATCCTGTAGAGCAGACTTAGCAAGTATCCACTAAATAGTCAAGCATGCCAGATCTCATTCCGGACACTTCATTCAACACAGCCCTCCATCCTCCCGAGCCCTCTCTTTTCCTTCTTTTGTTTGCTTTTTAATCTCTTTTACTTGCTTATTTATTTTTGAGAGAGAGACAGAGCGCAAGCGGAGGAGGAGCAGAGAGAGAGAGGGAGACACAGAATCTGAAGCAGGATCCAGGCTCCGAGCTGTCAGCACAGCTCGAACTCCCGAACCGTGAGATCATGACCTGAGCTCAAGTCGGACGCTCAACCGACTGGACCACCCAGGCGCCCCGCCCTCTCTTTTCACTTGAGATGTTTATTTTGTACTTATTGAGCAGGCACTTTTAGACCTAAGTATACCAGTTTTGATCATCTGTCGTGCTTGGGAGTGTATGCGTGGATATATACTCAAAATCAATGAGTTCCGGAATGCTAACGCTTCTTACATTCTGAGCCAGGCTCTGCTGAATCAGAGTTTTACTCCAAATCGTGGATGTCAATGTCTGAGGTTTTTTGTTTGTTTGTTTGTTTGTTTGTTTGATTTTAAATTATTTATTTATTTCGAGAGAGACAGAGACAGCATGAGTGGGGGAGGGGCAGAGAGGGAGAGGGAGAGAGAGAGAGAATCCCAAGCAGGCTCCATGCTGCCAGTGCAGAGCCTGATGCAGGGCTTCAGCTCATGAAACCAGGAGATCATGACTTGAGCCAAAACCAAGAGTCAGGCGCTTCACCAACTGAGCCACCCAGGCATCTCAAGATGCCATCTATTGTAAAACACAGTCTGATTTCAAGACTATTGAAACGTGGGGAGATATTGGAATTGAATGATATGGTAGTAGTATTTACTGAGTCCTTACTCGGGCCAGATATCGAACTAATCGTCGCATACTAACTCATTTCAACTTTGTAACAAGCCCAGTTAGGTGTTATTTCTGTCTCCACTGCGCAGAGGAGGAAACAGAAGTTAACGCCTTATCAGAATCGTGGATCTGGGTGTAAACCCTTGATCTGCACCTGATACCTCGAGTTCTGAAACATTACAGTAATTGTAAGCCATTTACTTGTGGCAAAGTGAAACTCGAGGCTACTGAGGGCGTTTGTCTACTCTAATTGGAGAAGACCGGGGATATTGTTCAATGTTTTTTTTGTTTGTTTCTTTGTTTCACTTGATCGACATAGATGCAATCCAAATCTATGTTTATATACAATGTCACCTACATTTCAGATCTGGATTCTAAACGCTCCCCAGAAGGAGCATTTGAGCCGGTAAAATATGGTTGACTTTTCTCGGTGGGAGTTGTTGAATTAGAGAAGGACAAATACCCTTCTCATTGCTGTCAAGAAGCCCACCTTGGTCTGAACCCCAAGAGCACACTCCCCAGCCATTCATTTTCAGAAGGGGAAGAACGTAGCTTGCCCAGATGTGGCTCTTCTGTGAATTCCTCCTGTCTCAGATTCACCTATGTTCGATCCACCCGTGTCCAGTCTCCAGCAAGCTGTCCTTTTTGGGCACGTCTATTCTTCTGTCTGGGTCAAGTGTAAAAGAGAGTGAGGAGGTTAAGGCAATCCAGGATACACTCGTAAGAGTTTTGGACAGTTCGTGTTACTCCACAAATCCAGATGATCGCTCACGTTCCTATGAAATGAGTACTTACACCCTTCGGTTAATCCGTATTTCTCTGATTCGATCCTGATGACAAGGGGAAATTACCCGGTAAGAAAAGCCTAGTGAAAAAGTGAAAAAACACAGTTTTCCTACTTCCCTGTCAGACCCCGCAGGAACCTGATGAGTTCAATCTCAAACCAAAGGTGAGACTTTTAAGCTCAGATTCCATTTCCTTTTCAGCCCAAATCTGACATTCTTCTGCAGATAAAAATAAGGTTTTAAAGATGGTTTTAAAGAACAGCATTGGGGTTTTTTTGGACACCAAAAATGTTTTATTAAAAAAAAAAAAGTTCATTGAGTTCAGTTTAAATGAATCAGAAACATATGGGTCAAATTTTCCTTAATATACACTTGGGCTTAAAAATTAAGGGAAAAGTACTAGGGGAAAAAAAAAAACCTCTCTCTCGTTGTGCTGAAATGAGAACATTTGGAAAGAAATTGCCAACATTTGACAAGTTTAAAGTATAGCCAATTTCACCCATCTCTTGGTGACAAAAGCCTGGGGACCATACTGTCATCATTAGGGCAAGGGTAGGGCGTCATGATGGAGGATGTTGGAGAAATAATTTTTTTTTTCCTTCCAGAACTTGAACTCCTGTATGTACACGCAATTATTTCATTCTGGAGCAGAAGGATAGAGACATACTCTAAAAACATTCTGACTTGGCTTCTCATGGTATATTAAAAGCATACTATAGAGGCACAGACTCAAAGTTTGGAGGTTTAACCCCAGGGAGAGAAAATTATGGTTCTCTCCATTTATCCCTGAACCCTGCAGCTGGTAACAGTGTCCTCTGTTAGTAATTACACTGAACAGATGAGGGACTTTTTAATTTTTTTTTTTTATTTTGACCTGCAGTTAAACAAAATTTGCTTGTTTTATTTTTGGTTAAAAAATGATGAGGCAGCACCAACCCCAATTTCACCCCAGAGCTGTTGATTTTCCCCCTCCTTCCTAATTTGTTTCAGACTATGAGTGCAGAGTCCCTTTTTTAGTGGGAAACATTTGCTGCCAAGACCTTCAGGGGATTTGTCTGCAGTTTATTTTGTTAACTACGAGTTTTAGATTGTTGCGAGGTTTTTTTTTGTTTGTTTGTTTGTTTTCTTTTTTTTCTTTTGCTCGTTTCGAACGTGGCAACGGGAAAGTTCACCTTCTGCTTTTGGGAAACAAATGCACAGCGAGAGAAAAAGAAGCGTGGGTCTAAAGTCATCCCAAAGTGTCACCAACGGCCTCCAGCCGATGGTAACTATAAAGAGGGATAACGAAATAATACAAATGAATTCACTGTCTTAAAAGGTCTCGAGTATAGTGTGGGCTCCACTCTCTCACCCTTCCCCTTGTAATTCAAATTTAACACTAATAAACGAGAGGAACTAAAGATAATTGGCTAGAATCAAGCATTACATCTGGGGCATTTCACAAGCTGGCCCCAGCCAGGCAACAGCAACTCAGTGCAGTTTAAACTTCTGCGTTCAGAACAAAAAACAATGGTTCATGAGGTGGAAAGAATGTTGTACAAACACCCCATCGCCCTGGCTGGTATTTATAAAGTTTTGGCAAAATTTCATAACAAATTTTAAAATAATGTGAAAGTGCCCTGTTTCCGGTTTCTACCCCGCACCATGCCTGTCTTGAGGATGTTGTGGTTCAGGGCAAGGGGCCAAGGATTTTGCCTGGCAACCCGAATGGAACAGACAGGCGCTAATAATCTGCACGTTTGAACAGGGCTTTCTTATTTCACGTTTCGAGCGGCGTTCGTATATATCCTTCCACAGGCTGAGGTCCTCCTCCCCAGCCTGGTGGACCAGGCTGCTTTTATTTTCTTGATGGGGAAACCAAATTAAGAGAGATGAGGGGCACACTTAACGAGGATTACTGGTGGAATGTAAACCCACTTTTCCGACCCTTCAGCCAAAGAAGTGTTCATTGAGATTCAAATGTGGGATAACTACCCCCAGTCCTCTTTTTCACCCTCTTTCCTCTCTCCTCTGTAGGGCTTCCCTCCCCACAATCACAGGGGAGTCTGTGCGTGGTCCCAAGAGCACCACTAGAATCATGCAGAACCTACCAGTTATGCCGCAGGGAGCAATTCATCTGAGGCCGACCCACTGTTCGGTAGGGACTGAAAGCACTAAATTCACCGATCGGTAGTTTTTGCAAAAACAGAAAAGCAATTTAATTTGCAAAAACAGAAAAGCAATTTAATTTGAAGGCCAGTGTGGGGGCGCCTGGGTGGCTCAGCTGGGGAAGCGTGGGATTCTTGATGTCAGCTCAGGTCATGATCTCACAGTTCGTGAGTTCGACCCTGCACCTGGCTCTGCCCCGACAGCGTGGTCGTGGGGTAGTATCTATTTCTACCATTTCACAGTTATGTGACTTTGAGCGTGTTATTTTACCTCACTGAAACTTAGTGTCTTCTATAAAACCGTTCCTTTCATCTGGGAGGATTTTTAGGAGGATTACACTCGACCACGTATGTGATACATCCGCAAAATGGTAGCCTCTTTGTCAAATACGGTACCGGACATTTTTAACTCACGGATGTCCCAGAAGCTTATTCTTCGGCTTTGGTTTTCCAGATGGAGTGCTGGCCTGTAACTGTATCTGTGGGACCGGCTTGTGACCACAGTAACGATGGTGTAATGTGCACGGGATGAAATGGCACGGTGTTAGATGATGCTGTGACACAGGTGGTTTTTTGTTTGTTTTTGCTTTGTTTTCTTTTGTGTTTCCTACCGGAGACCTGCCCACCCACCGGTGGGTTATGGTAAGGATGGAGTGGAGGGGGGGGGGGGGGAAGGGAAGTGTGTGAAAAAAGGACTACTTAATTCTTTAAATATATTATTTCATTTAATTCTTTCAACAACCTGAAGTGCAGAATTAAGCAATTATATAATTAGCCAGCGAATAGATCAGCTATTTATATAGCCAAACTCAGTAATTAGGACTGAAAACATTATTAACTGAGTTTGTAAATGAACCTTCAGGTATTTACCTTAACTCTGCTTCTTTTTCTTCACCGTAAATTATCAGCCTAGGATAATTTATTCGGTTAACTTAATTGGCATTAGAGCTCAACCAGATAATTCAGATCTAAATTATTCACATTATCTTTCAAATTATCCCGACATTCAAAGAATATTCCCACTTCTGTTCGCCTTTATGTGTGGGGTTTTGCCTACAATGAGACAACCTATGTACCATAAAACCCTGAGTATACGCTCTGCCTGGTTGATCTCATCTTGGGATCAAAAGGAGGCAAAGCAAAGGTTTCTAAAGTTTTAAAAACTAGAGCAGTGGCCTTTTTGAGTGATATGCAATGTCAGACATTTCAGGGCTTTGAGCCGAAGGACTTTCTGTAGGTTTAGATGTAGGATTATTCCAGGATCCTAAAAGACTGAGAACTTTAGTAAGAAGTATTTTGCAGTTATATTGAAAATTAGGGTAGGTGTGTGTATATTTAAGAATGAAGGGGCATCCACCTAAAATATGAAAAAGAGTCTTGTTTGTAGATGACATTGCAAATTTAAGGTTTCATTTAAAGCTAAGTATTGTAGGGGCGCCTGGGTGGCTCTGTCAGTTAACCGTCCGACTTCAGCTCAGGTCATGATCTCACGGTTCGTGAGTTCGAGTCCCGCGTCGGGCTCTGTGCTGACCGCTCAGAGCCTGGAGTCTGCTTCAGATTCTGTGTCTCCGTCTTTCTCAGCCCCTCCCCTGCTCACTCGCTCTCTTTCTCTCTCTCTTTCAAAAATAAATAACCATGAGAAAAATTTAAAGCTAAGTGTAGTAATACAATTATAGAAGAGAAAAAACAAAGTAGATATAAAGCAATAAAAATTTAAGTAATTCCCTATAGACTCATCGTCATTATGTTCTATTCCCCCACCAAATCCTTGAATTATATGTTTAGATATTTTGTTCATTCTTGACATATACTGCATTTAATAGAAAAGTAATAGGTACATGGATATTAATACTCCCCTGGACTGGAAAACATGTCATAGAAAATCAAAATACATTCATAAATACAATGGGGATGTTGTATATATGGTATCCTTCAACCACTGGGTATAACCGTAATCAAAGCCGGGAAGACCCAACAAACATATGTCTTATGCAAAATAAAAGTGCGATTTCCTGCTATCTTAATAGCGTTACTCAGTTTCAGAATCACAGAAATTCGGGACTTAGGACAACCCTTTGCCATTTTGAAGTTGTGGTTATGAGGATTTCCAAGTTAGACCTACTTTCTAGACTCAAATTTAAGCATCTGTGGACCACCTGGCTTCAGTACCCACTTAACTTGAGATAGGAGGTGATTTCTTCTAGAAGCATGCAATCACAGTGGTTCCCCCAGAACATAGCAAGTACAAGCCACAAAGCGGTAGAAATTGGGCCAAGAATTTAACATAGAGTTGCTATGTTTTCTCCTCTTCCCCTCGCTGTATTATTCTTACAACGTTGAACCACTGAAGGTTGAGGATAAAGGAATTCCAGACCTACCCATTTTAACTTGTTGTAAATTGGATCAGTTCAGCCAAATTTTCTTACATACAAGAACAGATGGTATGATATTTTATCATAAAATGACTTTTCCTTTGCTTTACGGTAAAAAAAAATAAAATAAAAATCCAACCCCAAATGACAGTATATTTTTCACAGACCTATGGCCTGTTAGAATCTGAGTTTATTTCAGCTCCCTGACCTAATTTGTGGTTGAGTATGGCCTTCTTTCGTGCCTGCAGATGTACAAAATGAAAAAAGTTCTTTTACGAATGGAAATATCTTTTTTCTGCTTGTGCAATAGATGGGTGTTTAAGAAGAGGGAAAAATAGTTCCCCCGCGTTTGTCATCGAGGTTCCATTTGTTCAGATAATGGACTCACTACTTTACTTATCGGGACATTGCTCTCTCGTTCCAAAATTAACTATAGAACATACTCAAATGTGTACCTCTGCCTGTGTGTACACAAAGTGGACATTTGAAGAAATCACTTGAATATTTCAGGCAAAAAAAAAAATACTTTATTTAAAACGTGTAATTGATTAAGGGAAAGTAGAGAATTTTGTTTGAATTATTAAGAGAATTGCGTGCTGTTAATTTCGTTTTTGTGTGAGTAGAGTCATCTTTTAAATAATTCATGCTTCCTTATGACCAAGTTTTCTTCCTTTGCTCGTATGTACTTTGCAGATGATTATAGATTCTGAAACTACAACACGTGACCAGGAAAAATGAAGGCTCGTTCAATGAATTTCATGATATCCCAGTATTTTTTTTTTCTTCCCTCACAAGATATGTTCTCTCTCTCAGCCTGGATCATATGCTGTGCCCCCAAATTGGTAGAATTTAAAGAAATTCGGGATTTGGGGGTTGGCTGGATGTGTGTGTGTTTCTTGTCTTCCCTCTGAGAAATGGAGAAGTTAATTTCCCTTTCTTTTGCACGTCTAGTTTCCTTAGAAGGGACTAGAAGCTATTGCCGTGTGAAAGTTTGGACTTAGGGATGAGAAAGTGAAGCCAAATACAGATATCCATCTAGCATGAATCCCTTTACAACTCGTGCTAATTGGCAATTTTGGGTGGTCTTGGTAGAGAGACTAATAATTGAACGGGAAAGAAGTCACAATTCCCGAAATGGACCTACTAGTCCCTGAGCAGCGTCATCGTAACAAGAATGTACTGGAATGTTCAGCTAATTTCCTCTCTAGACCTACTGCTGGGGTAAAGAGGGGATTCGAGCTTTGCTCTTGGGGTGCCACCTGTCACCAGCACCAAATTTAGTCCCAAGACACCGGAGGAAACTGTGTCAGGCCTATCTTGCAGCATCTTTCTGATTCACAGCCGGATCACAATGTACCATGAAGGGTTTGCAATAAAGAGTGATATGTTGGGGAAATTAAATCATGAATTAGAGCTGTTAATTACACACACGTTGGTTTAAAGCTGAAACAAATGCTTCTATCTGCCCTTTGTTGCACATTTTACATGCCTGCCTGTTCCTCCGCCGCTGGTGCTCGGTCTGTTTCTCTCTGATCTACTGCCCCTAACACCTTCGCTACCCAATTCCAAGCGCTAACACAAATGTAAAATGTAAATTGCGGCCTAGATTGTTGCTACCAGAGTGTGGAGAGAGACTCCGGGTTCCGTAACAGCCTAGACGTACGGAGGATCGACTTCCGCATCCTTGTATGTTGACAAACTCTTCTCTTCTCCATCACTTTCCCCTTCGGATCCTCATCCAGTTTTGTTCTTGGCCAATCGCGTACATTTCCCCTACTAATTCACATGCGTTTTTTTTCTTGGCAGGGAAGAGACCGCCTGTGTGCTTGAGACCTCCAAGCCAACTTACTTCGCACTGAAATTTCCTTCTTCTTTTCCTTCTCATTATAAAGGCTGACGCATAATTTAACCAACGTTTCCCTCCGGCGGGAGCGATCGTTCTATCTTGCTGGGTCATCCCCAAACTGCGAAGGCACGACTGACGGCCATAATGCACTTTAACGAACTTCCAGGGGCCCCCCCCGCCCCCGAGAACTTTCTATCAAAGAAGTGGTTGAGTTATTCTGAAGTTGAAAACTACTGAGAGAAGAACACAGGCAAGACACAGCCGGGCGGACCCAGTGTGCCTGGAGGATGAGGAGTAAGTTACTGTGGTTTACGATCGTGCAGGATAAGAAGTGGCAGGAGATGGGCTACGAAAGGAATATTGTGTTCCAATTATGATAGCTCTTAGGCAGCAAGGATTTGGATTTCATCCAGCAAGCAGCAGGAAGGAATCAATGGACATTTTTGTCAAGAGATAGTATCCACTTTGTTGTTTAGAAGAAAAAAGACACACACACACACACACACACACACACACACACACACAAGGTCCGGTGATGTGACAGAAAAAAATTAACCGACGAAAAGTGGAAAACCGTTGCGCTCATCAGAACAAGAGGTGATGTGACCTAGTGTAAGGCAGTGGGAGCATGTGAATGGCAAGGAGGAGACTTAGTCTGGTACCATTTCTGAGACCAAGGGATGGCGGTACTTAGCATTCTATTGATGTGATAGACGGTAGAGAAGGGTTTAAAGTGGATGCATAATAGCTTCTGTCACCCAAAGAGGTCAGAGAAAAGAACAGATGTTGCCAAACAGTCTCTACATTTTATTTTAGCTATAATGCATCTGAAATTCTTAAGGGATCCTCCAAGAAGAGATGCCTGTAGACAGTTGAAAACGCAGCCTGGTTTTACCTAGCGGAGTCAGGGCTGAAGAAAGACGTTCGGTGACCATCAGAAGTTACTGGAATTGCCTGCAAAGAGAAAGAGAGTGTACGAGGAACGGAACGGGGAACAGAGCCATCAAGACCACCAGCATTTAAGGAGCTGGGGGTCGGGCTGGGGGAAGGGGCACCAATGAGTGAATCAGAGAAGAAACTAATTGAAGAGAAAATCGGGGCAAGATTCTTGCTATAACATCCCAAGAGTGAACCTGCCAGCTGAGGGATGGGAGTTCAGGCTGCCAAAAAAACAAACAAACAAACAAACAAACAAACACCCCATGCAGATTCCACTGCTAAATGGCAATGAGCACATAACCCCTTCTAACTTTCTAACGTGTTTTGTTTTTCTTTTTTTTCTCTCCAAAAGCTACTACAACCCCAGACATGCTTTGGGAGTCGGTATTTAAAAGTTCCCGTTTTAATTTGGGTGGTTGTTGCTTTTTAAACAAGCAAAATAAAATGGGGATTTTTTTTCCAGTCCTTGAGATGTGGTTAAGTCCTTGAGAAGGTGCTCAGCAGTGAATTGAAGCAAAAGTGTCCCCAGCTTAAATAATCATATTACTGGTTTTGTGTTTCATGTTAACAAACAGCAACTGGACCTGAGTTGTTGGGATTTTTTTTTTTTTCTGATGTGTATTTCTTCTTTTATTTATTTGTGATTGGCTTGGGAATTCCGGTGACTGTTTACTGTGACTGATGAAAATTAAATCAGAAAATCATTACTTAGGCCTGTACTGAGAAATAGGATGTTATATCTACAGCGGATACTTCTGTTCTGAAACTAATGCTTTATTTATTTAGCTGTTCATTTTAGGAACATGAAAAGCATGTTTTAAAAACCCCCAAATTAGCCTTGGGAACAGATGAATAAATATGAAAACAATTTATCCCTTTAACAGCCTAATAAAATATGTTTTCATTATGCTAACTGACCCTGATAAATTCAATAGCCATCAGTTAAATATATCCATCATCCTTGAGAAGTATATCCAAATGTTTGCTCATTTTCTGATCCTCAACGAGCCTTGGTCACATGAGGATCATTAATTGTGACATCTCTAATGTAATCCGTTTCGGCTCTCATTTTTTAAAAAGAATGGTGAGGTAGAACTTCTCCCTTCACCAAAGGAAAGCTTTCTGAAATCTTACTTCAAGCCATTTCCCAAAATGTGGCTTCAGTTCATTTGGTTTGTCTTGTCCGGTTTCTTTAGGCTCCTTCCGACTCTATAACGACTTTTTGCTGTTACGGAGTTAACGGCATTGCTTTGCCATCAGGTATTGACTCGCCTCTCGCGGAGCAGGGGGCGACGGCTGTGATCTGGGGGTGTCACTGCCAATGCTGGCAACCGCATCTTCCTGAGGGTGCCCCGTGGATAGCACGGGTCCTGCGAGGTCGTCTTTTTTTACCCTTCACTCTGCATTTCAGAAGGACTAATACTTAGGGTACATGAGGGGAAAGAGGAACCTTTCTCGTTGCTTGATAACCCTCAGATTGCGTCTGAAAGTGAGTGCATCAGTCAGGACCCTGAGAAGTGGATAATCTTAGGGCCAGAGGAAGGCAGTCACCCTCAGTCAGTCAAAGCTGGCAGGCCTGGGGGGACGTCCTGGGCCAAGTTCCCCAGTTAGCAGATAGTCACGAGTGCCTAAACATGACCGATAGGCAGGCATCCCAAGAGAGCCTTTCCAGCCATTTCTTGTTCTTCATTTGATAGGCTGTCACGTGGTTTTCTCTTCCTCCCCTCCCCCATGGGGCCTTGCTGCTCTAATCCCTAAAACCAGGAACACGTGCTCTTGTTTGCACATCTGGCCTGGGTGAGCCTGGCTCCAATTTAAAAACCTACATGTTGGTCCAATTCCATTATTGGACAAGGAAATTCTGTTAACTGGCGGGCTCATTTGCATGTCATTACCCAGAATGCCTACCCAGCCCACAGATGTTTCCCAGACGCGGGGTGGGAAGAGAGCGGGGGTAAAGGTGATGGTGTGGAAACAGAGCGATTTGTGTATATGTTACTCAACATTCTTCTCCCTCTGTTTCGTATCAAGAGACATAATGTAATACAAAGTTAGGCATTTTCACCTCGCTTCGAGAAAATGTGCACTCTGATTTCAGGACATCTAAACAAGTGGAAACCAGAAAAACTAACCACCAGGTAATGTTCTCTTAAGGCCTACAGTTAAAAGAGAGGAGAACCGATTTCCATACCGTATTCTCAATGTTTGCCATGGAATTCTCTTTTCCTTGGGGATCGAAACAATTTTTTTTTTTTTTTTTTTTTTTTTTTTTTTTTTTTTTTAGTGATGTTAAACGGATAAAAGTGTGGAGGGTCTCCGTGGGACTCGATTTTTATAAGGCTTTTAATTGGATAACTGGCAGTCACACCATTCTTGTCTTCAAAATGGAACACATTTGGTCACAATGTAAACTTCTCTGTTGTTTTGTGAAAAATGTCTGAAGGCGTCTTGGCAACAGCTGTGAAACTGGGCTCTTTCCACACACAAAAAGTGACGACTTAGAATGCCCACGGTGAAAGGTTTGGGGGGGGGGGTTTCTGCTTATATCGTGCAAAGGAAGGAATGCTTCGTTCACAACAGAGACAAAAAAAAAGAGAGAGAGAGGGGAAGAGAAATGAGATCAAATATAAAATAAAATAAGATAAAATAAAGTCAAAACTATAATTGCTTTGGGGACTGAAGTTAAAACGCAGGTGTTTTGAGGGGAACATAAACATTTTTTTCCTAAATGAGGCGTTGAGGGCTGAGAGAAGGCAGTAAAATTAGTGGAATTACTGCCTGATTTTAACCAGATGATTGTTGCAGTTCGACACCAGCGAGTTTTCATTAGGGACTCTAATTTACAAGCCATTCAACACATTCCAGTGGAACACAAGTGCTCCCCCAGGTCCTAAAGAATGCCAGCTCTCCCACTTTATGGCAGAGAGGCCGGACTGCGAGGTTTTTAAAGGCCAACAGGACTACGGAAGGGAGCCCAAGATCTGCGAACTGGTGATGATCGCCCTGGCTCCCTGCAGGAGATGGTCCCAGGGAACCAACTTCTGTGCGACTCGGTCGCCGATCGCAGCCACGTGGTCGCTAGGCGTGGGCCCCGGGAATGGTGTTTCAGACGTGCCCGGGACACTCAAGTGTTATCCGTTCGCGTGTACCAGCATTAGATTATCTTCTGATTCGTGCCTCGGAGGGGATGTCTGGCCTGATTTCCCTCAACACTTAGGATTGGCGGTCACGCAACTGCATTCGGTAAATAATCTTGCAATGTTCCACGGCGTGTGTATTCCTGTTAAGCGTCAGGATTTCTGTGGTCTGCACCTCATGTAGTGCACCTAGACAGCTCATGTGTTTTTATTGTGATACGTTGGCACGTGATGTTGAAAAGCCATGTGTCGAGGTCAGGAGTTCAAACCCTGCTTGTAGTCGCAAACCTGCTGTCACCCCACCAAGGTCAACAAGGGGAACAGCGTACGAGAGCATCCCAAACCAAACTCGTCTCCTAAGGACGAGGCCACTGGGTGCCTCGGCAGAGCATCGAGGGCCTTATTCTGTAACCCAGAAACAGACCAGGCAGGCCGAGAGCATTTGAGATTTGAATACTCTGGAACAGAGGCTGGGCGTCATTAAAGCATCAGAAGTAAAATCAGCACAAGTGAACGTAACGTTCACTGGAAGACATGGCCGAGATCAGGCACCTGAACCCTTCTAGGTTCACAAAATCTCTCCAGTTGTAGTAAGTGGCCTCAACGTTGTGAGTGGTAACCCACTTGCCCAGCACTGGTGAGACTTGTCCACAACATCAGGAAAAGCCGACACAGTCCATTTACCAAGCCATATTGTCCCTGTTGTCCATGAAAAACACCAGCCCTTTGCTCCGCCGCAGGTATCCAAATGTTTCGTGCTCGTCTGGGCTTTACCATTCCTTTTTATCTTTTTGCCCTGGCTGGTGGAAGGTGGCACAGGCTGTGATCTACAGAACCTCAGCAGTTGTGTTTGTTCATATTTTATCCGTGTGGATTCTATACAGGGGTTGAAACTTAATTAAATGTTATTCTGCACATCCAGCAAGTACTCCTCTGCTGATTGGCCAAAAAAAAAAAAAAAAAAAAAAAAAAAAAAAACCATAATGAACAACGAAGCCAAAAACCGTAATAAACAACCAATTGAGAGCCAATTGGGGTGACAAAACCTTAGAGCCTCGTTTTTAAAAACCTGTATCTAGAGAACCAATACTAGAAGAAATAAAGATTTAATCCATAGGTAGATAGGCCACTGAAGGCACAGAGTTACTTTTGGTAATTCATGACTGAGAATGATTTGTCTCAACTCGTTTTATGGTAGGGTGCGCAACAAGATTAAAAGATTTTCTTTTTTTGGTTTCTCCAATTATATTAAAACCAAATAATTTATCTTCTGGTCATATAAAGGCAATGAATCATTACCTTTCTTAAAATCATGAAAATCTCATTTCTAACTCACAGCTAAAGAATCAGATCATTGTGACTTTCATATTTGCCCATAAAATTGTTTGTGACTTTTATTTTTATTTATTTATTTTTTTAATGTTTATTTATTTTTGAAAGAGAGAGAGCGCACGAGCGGGGTAGGGGCAGAGAGAGAAGACACAGAAGCCGAAGCAGGCTCCAGGCTCTGAGCGGTCAGCACAGAACCCGACGCGGGGCTCGAGCTCACAAACTGTGAGATCATGACCTGAGCCGAAGCCGGACGCTTAACCGACTGAGCCACCCAGGCGCCCCTGGAAGCGTTTTTAAAATGCGTGCCAAGACTTTATCTGTGTTGAACTTGGTGCCTCTATGAGATTTCATTTAGTTGAAATAGAAATCCAATTCTTCATTACAGTAACAAAAAAACAAAATCACAAGCTTTGTAATAATTATTATTTTCTTTGCCATCTCAACAACCGTACTGTGAATTAGGTAACCTAGCTGTTAAGAATTCTGTATTTTTACAGCGCTTGGGGGACTCCCGTCAGTTGAGCATCCGACTCAGGCTCGGGTCATGATCTCGCGGTTCGTGAGTTCGAGCCCTGCACCAGGCTCTGTGCTGACAGCTCGGAGCCTGGAGCCTGCTTCCGATTCTGTGTCTCCCTCTCTCTGTGCTCCTCCCCCACTCACACTCTGTCTCTTTCTCTCTCTCAGAAATAAAAATTAAAAAAGTTAAAGGAGAGGATTCTGTATTTTTACATTTTAACGTAGCTATATCAAAAAAACGTCCAAGTGGTAACAATTTTCTGTGAGCAGGGGTGTGTGGGGAAGTAGAAGGTAGGACTTAGGAAGGTGACTGAACCTGAGAAATTTATAAATAGAATTTTTTATGTTCCATTTGAAAGGGTCTCTGTATAGAATTTGTTAACTTTTTTATAAGACAAACTAAGAAGATAAAAATAGCTTGTAAAAAGGGGCGCCTGGGTGGCGCAGTCGGTTAAGCGTCCGACTTCAGCCAGGTCACGATCTTGCGGTCTGTGAGTTCGAGCCCCGCGTCAGGCTCTCAGCTGATGGCCCAGAGCCTGGAGCCTGTTTCTGATTCTGTGTCTCCCTCTCTCTCTGCCCCTCCCCCATTCATGCT